AAAGACCCAATTATCGGCTTAATTCGTCGTCCATTACATTTTAGGTAGATTGTGTACCTTTTGAGGAGTAGTTTTAGGGAAGAAAAATTGTAATACCGCGTGCTCGCCCACTTCCTTTGGCCGAAAAAAAGGCCCCAAATGGCCGAAAAATCTATTTTTGCAAATATCTGCCAAATTATGCAATTTACAAAATTTTTCCTGGAATTAAAAATGAAGCTTAGGTAATTCCTAAGTTCATTTAAAAGGTAGAATTAACAGTTATCACATTTTGGACCTTCTCTTAATTTTGTCATATTACGATAATAAAAAAATTTCTGAATAATCTGAAAATTTTTGGGCCAAGGAATGGATTTACCTGTTTTTTTTATTATCATAAAATATGACAAAATTCAAGTCCAAAATGTGATAGCTGTTGATTCTACCTTTTAAATGAACTTTGAATCACCAAAAAATATTAAATTTTAACCAAGTTATTAAACAATGTGTCCTATCAATCAATGATACGCTTATGAATTCTATCTCCGGAGCGTCTTAACTTGGAGAGAAAATTCAGAGATCTTCGAGGCGGAATATCTAGAAAACTACTAATTTTACGCAAAAAATGATAAAGACTATTTTTGTAGGTAATTATTTAACCTTCATTCCAAGAAAAGTTCTGTAAATTGCATATTTTGGCAGATTTTTCGGCTATTTGTGGTGTTGAAGTTTTTTTCCCATAAAACTACTCCCCAAAAGGTACACAATCCGCCTGAAAAGTGCCGTGGTTTTAACCTTCATTTACTGGACTATCTTGGTATATTTGCAGTTTTATTTTTATTGATCATATTTTTATTATACAGGGTATTTCAGAAAACATGTGCCATCTCTCGTGCGGAGATTCCTCACGTAAAAATAAGACTTATTTTTCATATCAACATAGGTCCGATTCTGCTTTATTTCGTAGCTACAGGGTGTTAAAGTCTGAATAATATTTCGATTTATTATAATTCTCTAAGTCCTTTTAGTGATTCGAATGAAATTTTCACTAATAATACCACTAGAGGTCAAATTATTTCCGGAAATTTTTTCGAGCTGATGAATATTTTGAAAATTATAAGTGTTCATGAGCGAGAAAAAATGTCCGGATTTAATTTGACCTCGTGTGGTATTCGGTAAGAAAATTCCACACCAAATTGTGTTTGAAAATCAAATAATTAAAATGTATTTTTCGATTTTTGGTCGAATTGATTATTTAGTAACTATGATAACTAAGTGACACCCAAACCTAAAAACTATTCATAGATAAATGCAACTAGTTTAGATTGGAAAGCCCGTATAAATTTTGGGATCGCGAAATTATTTTGGGTCGCGACCGTTATACGCGATCTGGCGCTGCTATAGCGGTCGCTAAGAACACGGCAAACAAAAACAGAAATAATTTTCTCTTGTCAAAGTGAGAATCTTCAAAAATCATAATAATCTTTCAAAATCTAAACCGCTCTCATTAAAGAAATCCCGAAAAGTGTTTATAGCGTCCATTTTCAAAGTAATTATTGCTATCTTGTGAGTTTAATTCAAGTTGTATTTACTCCAACCGGTGATAATTGTGAAAAAGTGGCATTAAAAACTTAAAAAGCTGTGCTGTGAACTGCAAAAACCATCGTGGATCGTGGCATAACGTCGGTTTTCAATGTTTCATAGGTATTTCATACATGCGTCCTTATATAAAATAAAGTTTCTTGTATGCAACACACTGTATTTTATTTATAAAATTAAACGAAAATAATAATAAATTTGAATAAACAATATTTGGCGATATAATTCCGGAAAAAGTCGAACCGCTCCGAAATTTTGAAAAGTTTTGGGTCGCGACCGTTGCAAGAATAGCGCCAAATAGTGTTTACATTGTCCTTATGGGCACTTTCCAATCTAAACTTGTTTCATTTATCTATGAAACTATTTCAGTTTTGAAGCTTTCAAGCGGCACGGCTTAAAAAAAATGTTTCGCTTTGGTCATGAAAGCAAAGGAATATTTTCTTTGCCAATAGATTAAGCAGTTGACACCCGCGAATACTAGGAAATCAAAGTCAAGCGTATGAATATGAAAGCAGTTTACAAACTTTCATCTCAGCTTTGTAATTGAAATGTATCAAAATTATCACGTAAACAAATAAAAACCAGACTCTCAAAAATATATTCTGTCTTATAAACGTCAAAAAATTTCCAGTATAATTCGCTGTTGGGTGCATACAATGAATAAATTTTCACTAAAATTTACATTCGTTGCCATGGTGATTTGTCAAAAAAACACGTTTCGATTGGTTAAAAATTACAGGTGTGGAATTTTTAGGGTAAAAGTTACTATAAGTGCTACATATGTTAATGCTAAAAAAGTGTCGATAAATTCATCAGGGACATGCATATGGGTTAACGCTGGAATAAAAAAAACATGTGCGCCACTCACATTTTTCTTTTGATATCAAAATTTTTTCTAGGCCTTTTAATGCCAATTAAAAGTTACGTCTTGATATTTTGTCGAATTCGGCCTCCCTGATGAGATAAACGCAATTTTATTAATCACAATTAACAAAATTAAAATTAAAATAATTAATAAAAAATATTAATAAATCATGTATTTTACCTAATTTATTATTAAATAATATTACCATTAGTTATTACTACTATTACTCCAACCTACAATTTCAAATAAAAAAAAATAATGGTATTTAAGATAATTACAAGAAACCTAATTTTAAAAAGTTTTATCATCCTGTAACTCTAAAACTATGCATTTCCATACTCATGTTTGTTAGAACTTTTTTTCATATTTTTTGATGAGGAATCAGTGAGTACTTATTAATACTTTCGCAAGTTAATGATATTAAATTTTTTTATAGGTTGCTGTTAGACTTGAATCAAGGCAAATTAATAAAATTGCGTTTATCTCATCAAGGAGGCCGAAATCCACAAATTATCAAGAGACAACTTTTAATCGGTATTAAACTGCTTACACTATTTCGCTAACAAGAGAAAAAAGTCAGTGGCGTACATACCTTCTTTAAGAAAGATATTCCAGTGATGCCCATATGCACGTCCCTGGTGAATATGTCGACACTTTTTTAGCTTTAAAATATGTCGCATTTATTGTAACTTTTACCCTCAAAATATCATTCAAAGCGCTAAAAATCGAAAAAATAATAAGACTTTAACACCCTGTAGCTACGAAACAAAGCAGAATCGGACCTATGTTGATATGGGAAATAAATCTTATTTATACGTACGGAATCTCCTCACGAGAGATGGCACATGTTTTTTGAAACATCCGGTATATAAAAATTATAAGTTTAAAAAAGTAAAAGGTATCACAATAATGTACAAGTTTTAAACTCAGTTTTACTACACCGTTATTTTTAACTCTATAGTATAAGAATTTTTATTATATTTAATAGCAATTTTTGCCATTTATAAAAAATGATCTGACCTATTATTTCTTGAACTTGTTTTAAATCACCAAAAAGATTTAAAGCAAAGTTACATTTAAGACTCCTTGATATTTTAGTATTAGACCTTAAGTAAATGTTATATGCAATCATACCAACTTGCATCCGAAGTTGGTGTTGTTGAAAAAAGAATAATGACTGCTGGTAACTAGAATTAAACCTTAGTGATTTTTTCAATTATTAAATATTAATATGTTGTCTATTAGATATATTTAATGTAAATATAATATCCATAATATACTTAAATCTTATTTTCAAAAAAAAAATGAAAAACTGAATGGCACATCTGTCTAAAAATAATATACCTATGTAATATTGTGTCTATCTGTGTCCATTATACTAAATGTTTTTTGCAAATTGTTTATACAGAACTATTTTCTTCGCATGAAATATAATAATTTTCAATTACCAACATCATGTTTTGTCAATATTAACATTTTAAACTATAACGTTCTGTATAAACAAACTAAACATAATGTATTGTATATTTACATATATATTTTATAAAATAAGTATAAGTTTTTTCTCATTCTAATAAAGAAATGATATCTATGATTGTGTTAAAAGTTAAGATTAAAATACTCAGTTATTCTATTTTAATAATACAACTCTCTCTATAGTGTTACAATTTTTAATAATAATTTATATTGCATGATATAAGTAAATTTTCTCGATTTACTTTTCAAGGACCAACAACATCTCTATTTTATATTTTATAAATATTATTTAAGATATTTATCGCCATACCGTTTGAGCAAAAATGATGTATTAGAATCAAAAGAAATATATTTACTGTAAAAGAGATTGATATTCATTTGATTAAGTTCGAAACCAGAAATTATTTAAAAAACATTTAACTATTTTTTTAAATACGTGGCTTAAATTTATATTTAATTTGTTTGTGTAAGATAAGACAATAATTATTTTTTCTCTACTATAAACTAAGATATATATGTTAGTCTGTAAATTTAAGAATTATTTATATATATTTTCTTTCATTTTTGTAATTTATCTTATTTTTTTAATATGTGTTTTCACTGCCGCCCAACTTGCAAAGTTTTCGTTCAGATTATACTATGTTTTTAATTTAAGACTTCTTCTTAATGAAAGAAATAATTACAACCGTAAATTACACAATTTGTTTCAATATTCTCTTACATATGTATTTATGAAAAATGTATTAATTTATTTATTTTGAAAATCACATTATTTTTCTATCGATGGTTGTAATATTTCTTGGAATTTTTGGGGTGTTTGCTTTTTTAGTGAACTGCAGTAAACTAAGCATTCTTTTATTTATTTATATTTTAAAATAGAACCTACTGTAAACTTTTGTAAACTTTATGTACTTAAAATATATTTAGAATAAGTTGAATCTATTTTCATTTGTTTTATAAATAAAGACGAATTATTGAATATAATAGTTTGTTGATTTTCTAAAACCTTAGTTTTAGAGTACTCTTACTTTACCACATGAAATTATAATTAAGTTTATTAGGCTAATAATGATATACTTTTTAGGTCAGCGAGATAGTCGATATATTGCAGAATCGTAAGTAAATTTTCTTTATTATTATTTTATTTTTAAATTATACATATCATCCTTCTGATCAAGAATAAACAAGTCGTACCAAATTGGAACAATTCTTCTAGACTGCTAACTTCAGACGATATGATAACGATATAATATTCTAAATACAGGGTGAATTTCTTACGATGTTCTCTGTGGTTATCTCGGAAACTACTGGAGTAAAATTAGAGAGTCGGTTAAATGGGTAAAGAATGGTAGTTTTGTGGGGTCATATGTTTTTTTAAATGGAAACCATAGTTTCCATGACTTTTTTTAACATATTTTTAAAGCTTTTCAGCGATATAAGCTATAATATGTTTTTTTTTAAATACTGAGTTATAGCCAATTCTTATCTTTCTTGACTAATTTCACTTAGTTGGCATGGTCTTCTTATTCTGTTATGATTTATAACTGATAAAAAGACAGAATATATTATTAAACAGTTGTTTACAATTTACATTACATAAACTAAAACTTAATCCTACACGCTTTTCTTCATTTGCAAAATTAATATTTACAACTTGTTTTCATTCCTAAGTGATTTTTTTTTTAAATGATAAGAATTGGTTATAACTCGGTAATTTTTCGAAAAAAAAACATATTATGGCTTATATCGCTGAAAAGCTTAAAAAATGGCGCTTTTTATGAAGTCATGGCCAACTATGGTTTCCATTTAAAAAACATAATAAGTCAAAAATGAAAGGCTTTAGAAAAAAAAACGGAGGACACAAACTCATTAAGTATGTGATTATCTACAACTTTTATCTGAAAACTTTTTCTCTAAAATAGATTATAATGGAATTAGGGACAATTTTTAAAAGAGCCGAAATTTCTTTTTTTTTCGAAATATCTAGTAAGCCATGAAATTTTTCAAAAATCTGAAAGGCACATATTTATGACCCCACAAAACTGCCATTCTCTCCCCTTTAACCGACTCTCTATCTCCAGTAGTTTCCGAGATAGCCATAGAGAACATCGTAGAAAACTCTCCTTGTTATAAACTACAAAATAAACTACTCTATAATCTGTCTAGCCAGAGAATATATGATAGGGACATTTATTTATTATCTGTCATTTTTGATTCAAAAATAGTTTTCATTTGTTTAATGTCATCTGCAAAAATTATATTCATTTGTAGGATAGAGTAATTACAGACAATACTCATATTAGTATAGATCAAAGACAGAACATTAAAAGTTATATATCCCAGCAAGCAAAAGCTTATCTCTGCAACATTGCCAAAACTTCACAAAGTAAGGTACAACATTTCTTTTTTCATTGTGGGGAGGTGTATGCAAGGAAGCAGGGTTCCTTAATTTACCTCCCAGCAAGGTTGAAAAAGAAATGTTGATGCAAGGTTATTTAAAACCTTGTCACAACCTTATGAAAACATTTCAGTTAGTAAACATTTCAGAGTATTATTGAAACGGTGCTAATGTTACGTCGAAGAAAGTACTAATTTGAGACGATTTAGCAATATTGTTAATTTTGCGTCAACACAGTATTGGTAAAATTATATTGTATCAATGTTTCACAACTTTTGATCCATTAAACTCTTTACTTCGTTATAACCTATTAACTGTCTTATTGCTAAAATAATATAGCATAAAATCGCTAATGTTCGCAATAAAAGACAATCTCATTCATTGGAGAGTAAATATAAAAATTATTTTTTAATGCCATTTACTTTATTAAAATTTATTTTCAATTAAAAAAAAATAAAAAATTTAAAATTAAAGAAAAAAAATGAATTATTTTCAATTAATTTTCATAATAATAAAATTGTACCTTCATTTATATTTAATAAAATCTCATTCGAAAATCATAGAACGTTATACCGTATCTGTTAAAATCAAAAGTTTAACGTTAACCTCACCTAACTTATATATTTACTTGCGCGGGTCTTTCATTTGACTCTTTGTTGCAATTATGGAGTGTATAGATGAAAAGAAATATCTCTTGTGGAACTTTATTTAAAAAAGTGGTCATAAAAATGGGAAGAATAAGGATTCACCAAATAACCACAGTGGCGCTAATTATGCATAAATCTAAAAAATGTAAATTACCCTGGATAAGAGAATAAAAGTAACATCACCAAACATTACCCAAAAAAGCTTTGTTTGTATTTTTTAGAATATAAAACAATTATTTTTATATACTAGAGGCCCATTCTATTGCTGCTGAATAAAGATCGATAATTTATTTCATGTGACATGAAAATAAAATTTGCCTTTTATTTGAATTTACTTCACATCAAATATTTATCTCTTTTGAATAATTTCCTGTTCTAAAAATTTTCGGCGCATATTTTAAATTTTAGGTTATTGCTAAGCAGCGCCATCTTAAGTCTTCTCTTTTTTATGACCTTATTGGCCCTGACTTATTTTTTAACGCACGAAGATATTTCTCCTTACCTCTACACTCCATAGTTGCAATGTTCCAGAAAAAAATATTTGTGCGAAAAATATTTTAAGCGATGTAATTTTGCAAGGTTTTGAGAAGTATCTCTGCAACATTGCCAACATAATTATGTTTTAATCACCGTTCAAAAAATATGTTTCTTTTGTAAGTTTTAATCAATCACGTCACAAGGTTTAAAAATCAACGTTACAAAGGAAGCTGTTTTGGGGATTGACTGCAATGTTTTTTAGCCTAAGAGCTGACGACATACTTTGAGAACATATTTTAGGCAAGCTAGAATAACTAAAAATGTATAGTTTATTAACTGGTGAACGCAGAATCCTAAGTCTGGCTGGGGGGTTGGGGGTATTTCGCTACTGCGCAACCCATAACATTTGCAAAAAAATAAATCCAAAAAACATTCTTTAGGCAACTTGAAATTTATTTATTCTTAAATTTTAGCATCTATTTAACCTAGAAATAAGTATGCCAGACTTTTTTTTCGGGTTTGAAGTGTAACCCGACCATTCCAAATATGTTTAATTATTATACCTGGAAAACATACTTTAGGCATTCTAAAATTTTTACAGCGTATTTATTAGATGATATTAAAAAATATGTGTTAATTGCCAGATGAATTCAATGGGATTTAATACTTGCCTGACGCGAATAAAGATTTTAAATGAGCGCGATAAGAAAGTCTTATGAGTATCTATAAGCGCGAGAAAGATAGTTTATTGAGACCCGGGGGGTCAGGGGCAGCCGTAGGTAGTCGCACGCGGCTGACGTAACAGCATTTTGGAGTCGTAAAAATTAAAAAAAAACTAACTAATATTGAATAAATAAAAATAAACAAAAAAACAAAATTTTTATTAAAATATAATAAAAATGTATGATTGAAATCCTTTCAATAAGAAGACTTTTTAATTTACGTATTTTGTATCTGAAAGAATAAAAAGACGAATAATTATTTAAAAATTAGCATAATATAAAATATATTTTTTCAAACGTCACAAAAGTATAATTATTATTATATTTTTGGTGACATATTATATTATTATTAATTTTTGCGACCTGATTGACAATATAAAAAGTCATTTTAACCCCTAAGCATAACAGTAAAGCACTTTTACTTACTTTTGAATCTATTTAGAAAGATTAACAATGGTACTTTAATAAAATTCCAGAATACTGATTTTTTAGCACTGTACATGGTACCCTTTTGTCGGGACTACGTTTTCTGGTAAAACCACTTCTTTAAATTTTAAACCATGTTGTTGGCGCACTTTTAAAAATTCTCTGCATTTTTGTAGTCTGCCTTCATCAAAAACAATAACTTTGTCATTAGTAACTTTTTTACAAACTACACAACTTAAATGTTTTTTATCCATTGTGATTTAGTAGTTAGTAGCGAAATTAGTAATTACTAAAATATTTACTTTGCAGTAATTATTCTAAACTATTTACACTATGCACATCAATATTTAATTTATAAATACATATTTGTACATGGTAACTTAATTTCAACAAAATAATCTCTGAATTAAAAGCCTGCAAATAATTGAAATGAAACCGAAAAAAATTGTTTTTATGAAAATTTGAAGTACTCCAAAATACTGTTACGTCAGCCGCATCGGCTGCTGATCCCCCGGGTCTCAATAAACTATCTTTTTCGCGCTTATAGATACTCATAAGACTTTTTTGTCGCGCTCATTTAAAATCTTTATTCGCGTCAGGCAAGAATTAAAACCCGTTGAATTCGTCTGGCAATTAACACATATTTTGTAATATCATTTAATAAACACGCTGTAAAAATTTTAGAATGCCTAAAGTAATGTTTTCCAGGTATAATAATTAAACATATTTGGAATGGTCGGGTTACACTTTAAACCCGAAAAAAAAGTCTGGCATACTTATTTCTAGGTTAAATAGATGCTAAAAATTAGAGAATAAACAAATTTCAAGTTGCCTAAAGGATGATTTTTGGATTTATTTTTTTGCAAATATCATGGGTTGCGCAGTAGCGAAATACCCCCAACCCCCCAGCCAGACTTAGGATTCTGGATTCACCAGTTAATAAACTATACATTTTTAGTTATTCTCTATTTGCTTGGAGGGATATTTTCAAGAAAAGGGCATTGAAATTATTATAATATATTCTGATAATTATACTGCTAGTCAAATGTAGAATGATATATAAATAATTGGTACTGTCTTAGATTACAGAGTGAGAACGCAAGCGAAAAAGAGAAACCCAATATCTAAATACTAATAAATAGTAGATCTCTACATTAGAGAGCTTTAATTTATCTAAAACACTTTTTTTCATAGCAGCGATACCGAGAGCGCAGACGTACGCCCCAAGGAGAAAAAATGTCGACTACCATCCATACAACTGACATCGGCCTTCTTCAGGAAGAAGTTTGATAAAAGCGTCCCAGAACAACGCGATAATCAAGACCAAGACGAAGCTGATGCTGATACCATACCTGCTGAAGAGCTGACCAACACCGACCAGGTGTTAACCACGGTTGAGAAAGTAAACGAGAAAGAGGTTAAGGATAAAAATCTAGTTTATGCAGAGCTGGACTTAGTGAGTCCAAACAGTCCGAATCTCAAGCCTGTTGTCAAAGGTAATGACGACAAAACGGAGTATGCGGAAATTGTTTATACTCCGTCGAAGGAAGACGAAAAAGAAGGCAAAGAGGAAAAAAATAAGAAATAAGTTTACGTAGAATACAAAATTTTGCTTTTCATTAAAGAATAATTGTATACAGAGTGTTTATTTTTTTTATTATAGGCATAATATATAATCCGTCTAGAAAGTATCCGGAAAAAAGAAAGCAAAATTACAATTATCGATATATATTTTTAGGACTTGAGTTAAAAAAAAAATTATTAACAAATTATTAATTTTATTTACTTACAGAACCTCCATTTAACTCCAAACACTTAACTAAACGTCCAGGTACACACGAAACTAGGTCCACCCCATAATGTTCAGTGGCGGTAGTCCAGGCTTGTAAAACTGAGCGAATCAAATCTTGTTTATTTCGTGGAGCTGCTCGTTCCACTTCAGTCTTCATTAGTCCCCATATGTTTTCAATGGGACTAAGGTCTGGTGATGCTGCTGGCTATGGAATTGTTGCTAAATGGTGTTCTTGCATCCAAGCTTGAGTATAGGCAGACGTATGGCATCTTGCATTATCCTGCTGAAAACGCCACCCCTCTGGATATAAAACATGAGCCGTTTCATGAAGAAAACCATTTAAAATATCACAATATTTTGCACTATTAACAGTTCCATCAACTATACATAGAGGTGTAGTACCACGCTGAGATATTGCTCCCCAAACCATTATTTTAGTGGGAAATTTTGAAACTTGAACGGTAACATTTTCTTTTGATAGAATTTTTAGGTGGTTTCCACTAAGCTGGAAACAACTTTCGTCAACATCTTCTTAAAAACGTTGACAAAAATCCATTCTTCGCTGGCTTTGTAGATGTGTTATTGCAGCGATTTTTTTTGGCTTCCTTGATATGTAGCCTTTTCTTTTCAGTGACATGCGGACGATTTCTGGACACACTTTTCATTTTCGCTGACTTCCAAATCTGTTAGCCCATTTGCGAAACCCTAGGCGCGGATTCTGTCGTCCTAATGCCACTAAAGCGTTTAAATTATTTTCGAGAATCTTACGCGGTCTTCCTGAAACTGGTACATGCTTCATATCTGTGCCATTTTTTATCCTCTTCATCGTCTCATATATTGCACTTTTTTCCGAGTTCAGTCAATTGCACTAATTTTTGAACGTTTCGAACATATTTTCTATACAAATACTCCACCATTTCTATTTTTTTTTAATTGCAACATTATTTCTCATAACTTAGGCCGGTTTATAATCAACAATATTTGACAGATGGTGTTGCCATGCGATTTTGGTCATAGCCTACTATCGGCATGGCTACGTGATGGATTACTGTTGTCTTAGAGTGTTACAGAAAAAAAACATTAAAATTAGGAAAAATATAAAATTCCGGATACTTTCTAGACGGACTATATTATCCCGGAAATTCATGCCAAGTTAAGAGGTTTAAAATTTAGATAAGGCGTACACACCCAGAAAACTTTCATTTTTTTGTCTTTTGACGGTTAAAATGAGAAACCTGCTGGTTTATTATTCCTGGACGTATATAGGGTGTCATTGAAATTGTGTAAAAAAATCAGAGGGTAATAGTACTCCTAAAAATAGTAAAAAAAAAGTTCCTATAAGTATAGGGCGGTAAATGCATATTAAGGAAGTTAGGGGCACTGAAAGGGTGAATTTAAAAAACGGTTGGTTTGAAATTTTAGGTTTAAAAAACGATATAAAATTTCGAAAAAAAAAATCCTCTGTCATAAATTTTGACCTTAAATCAAATGGTGATACTGAAAAATTATTTGAAAAAGCGGAAAGGGTAGTTTTTGCAAGGGTAGGGGTTGTTTCGTGAATAACTTTTTTGAGGTTATTTTTTTTGCAACGTGGGTTCATTTTTTGAAAAAAAGGTACTCTTGTTGCACATCGCCCAGAGCAATGGTTTTCGAGAAAATTGGAAGCAAAGAGTTTGCTCTGATGGGTTGCTAACTGACGGTTGCTTGTTAATCAACATAAACTTATGAAAGTTATGGCGGTTCAAAAGTAACCAAGTAGTAATCAAATACTTAATTGAAAAATCAAAATTTCATGATTTTTAAAACATCTTATTGCTTTAAAAAACGAAATAATCCACTAGATTTCTACTTCTGGAGCCTCTTGAAAGCTTTTGTTTACTCAGTGCCGATTAATACTGAAGAGCAACTACGGCAACGCATTATTGACTGTTACAATCAAATTCGGTTAGGTTAGGTTAGTAGTTATTCACAAAACAACCCCCTACCTTTGCAAAAACTACCCTTTCCGCTTTTCCAAATAATTTGTCAGTATCACCATTTGATTTAGGGTCAAAATTTATGGCAGAGTCTTTTTTTCGAAATTTCATCTCGTTTATTAAGCCTATAATTTCAAAACAACCGTTTTTCAGTGCCCCTAACTCCCTTAATATGGATTTTCCGCCCTATACGTATAGGAACTTTTTTTACTATTTTTGGGAGTACTATCACCCCCCGATTCTTTTACACCATTCATGCAGGGTGTCAAAAGAAAAGTTCCTATGAACATATGCCCTAAAATGTGCCCCGAAGAAATGACAGCCCTCGAAAGGTTAAATAAAAATAACATATTTTGTTTACTTTTAAGAACATTAACTGTAATAAACTAACATTACATTAACTGTAAATAAACTGTTCTTTTTGAAATTTGGTACTCTTACACACATTTTTATTGCCAAAGCGAATAGCGATAGCTCCGTAACAGCCTTTCAGGGGTACTTTCCATTAGGATAGAATGTACTACTACTGGTGGTACTTTTTTTATCCTTATTGATACAGTCATTTCAATAAATGAAAATTAAAGCTAGAACTTTTTTTATGAAAAAAGGTGCTCTTCGTTTAGTTCGAAACAGTGAACGGTTTTCAAGATTTTAAGTTAAAGATAACGTTTAAAGCTTCCGATGCATCGATTTTAGCACTATCAGGAGATTAATTTATTTAAAATTTTATCGTTTCACTAATACTAAAATCGATGCATCGAAACTTGTTTTAAAAATCGTAAAAATCTTTAAACGCAAATATCCGGTGATCTTATCCAGTGAATATCCTATTTTTGAAAACCTTTCACCTTTTCGAACTAAACTAAGAGCACCTGTTTACGTAAAAAAGTTCTAGCTTTTTATATCATTTATTGAAATTACTCTATCTACAAGGATAAAAGTACCACCAGTAGTACTCTCTACCCTAACGGAAAGTAACCTCTCAGGGGCTGTTACGCAATTTTTCACAATCGCCATTCGCTTTGGCATTAAAATGTTATACCAATGTTCTTAAAAATAAACAAAATATATTTTCTATATAACCTTTCGAGGGCTGTAACTTCTTCGGGAAGCATTTTAGGGCATATGTTTAAAGGTTTTACTTTAATCTGTAGAATCACCCACCAAAGTTAGATACACTATTTTTGACACCCTGTATAATACAGTTATAAGAAGTTATGATCTGAATTACGAATATTAAGCTACCATAAGTTAATAAATATTTATTTTCGACATTGCGACAATTCAAATATGTAGTAAACATTACATGTTTCACGTAAAGTGTATAAAACTGACTTAAATGACTTACCTAGTTAACTACAGTTAGTAACACTTAATCATTACATTAAAAATTAAACTTCTTTATAAAGGTTATAGTAATATACGTATAAGTCAACATTCAATCTCGTATGTATTTTAAACCTCTTAGATCATTTAGATCACTATAATTTTACAAACACTCTGTATATTAGCCCTAAAAAGCACTTAATCCCGATTTTACACCTAAAGATTTACAAATTGTTACCATTTTATGTATTTTTGAATACCATTCGGTGCACTTAACTCCAATTACTTACAGAAAGAACAAAAATAATAATTTAATATAATATGATAATGTTGTTTGCCATATTTCACATTGACTATAAGCAAGTTACAACTTTTTCAATATACAGGGTTGTTTACCACATACGACACGGAGTATTGTAGCTAAACGATTAAATTTTTACAAATTGTAAGTTTTGGGTTCGTTGAGAGACTATTAGAGCTACAATTTAAAAATATTTTTACAAGATATAGAGTGTCCCAAATAAGTAAAAAATATTATTGTTGTATTTTTTTAAATGGAACACCCTGTATATTATTCTATTTTTGAATTTTATGATTGAAATAAAAGTAAATTTGATTAAGGTTTATCACACTTAAACCTTACCGTTTTTGAAATATTTTCAATTTTATGAAATTCCAGTAAAAATTTTAAGGCTTCATTTCTCCAAGTGTATCAAAATTTTTAATACTAAATATTTACTGATTAATTTATTTAAGATTATTTATTGATCAGATATTGTGTTACGGTGTTCCATTTAAATTAAACAAGTTATTCCGTTTTTAAACAAAAGCTTTAGCTAGTAATTATTTAATATAAATTTTTGGACACACTGTATAAGGTAGTAAAATTTTTATTATTGCAAACAATATATGATCAATAAATAATCTTCAGTAAATATTTAGTATTAAAAACTTTCCTACCCTTGGAGAAATGAAGCCTTAAAATTTTTACTGCAATTTCATAAAATTGAAAATATTTCAAAAACGGTAATGTTTAATTGTGATAAACCTTAATCAAATTTACCTTTATTTCAATCGTAGAATTCAAAAATAGAATAATATACAGGGTGTTCCATTTAAAAAAATACAACTATAATATTTGACTTATTTGGGACACTCTATATCTTGTAAAATTATTTTTAAATTGTAGCTCTAATAGTCCTTCAACGAACCCGACACTTAAATTTGTAAAAATCTAATCGGTTAGCTACAATACTCCGTGTCGTATGTGGTGAACAACCCTGTATAAGTAATTCGATAATTTTAGTTTATAGTTTTATTCTAATATTCATATTTATTTTTGATTAAAATTTTGATTAATTAATATAAGTCTGTCGAGAATTATTTTAAACAAATAGAATTCAGTAGATTGTATCTGACACAATCTTTGAATGACACAATGTTTTTCTTAACCTTAAAAAAGTGCATTAGGTGTCTAATTTTAGTTTTTAATACTACCTAGTTTTACTACTACTACTTTGTAGTTTCAAGAAAGCAGCTGTTGGTTAAATTTTGTGTTCTGCTTGATCAAAAAACACTTCAATCAGAATCCCTGTAATTTAAATCCTCTAAATTTACATGCTATTTTTATAGAAAATTATTTTAAATTTGCAAAAAATATTAGTCTAGTGCCTTAAATGTATTTAATATGAGATTTTCTATTATACAGGGACCGGAAATATTGCGTCGGGCATCTGTAGCTCCTATAATAAAAAACTTAGGAATGTTATATAAGTGTAAACCTAAAGGATGTATTTCAGGCAAATATTTTAAATTTTATAGGATGGCTCAAAAAAGTGTGAGTCGATCGCGATGATTTTATTTAAATTGAACACCCTCTATATTATTGCATTTTTGGCTTCCTTTCTTATCACTTTACATAATCCTAATATTATATATATTTTGATAGTTTCGACGATAATCCAAAATTTTTTTGTTTCGACAATTTTGACACCTATTAATAAACAAATTAAAATATTTTTTCAGCCTTTAAAAAAAATATTAAAAATACAAGAAATGTCCTGAAATTCTATATTTCGTATTTACTATAATTGGTCTAGACTTACTTTGTTATACAAATTCTAATCTTAACCATACAGGATGTTCAAAATTCTATGCCAAACTTTCTAAAATATAAAACAGTTTTTCTTCGTTTTTTATTAAGGATCACTCTGTATATGATTCTTATTTATTCTTGGTTATATGGAGAAAAAAATGAATATTTTTTGTATTTAAAGTATTTAAAAAAATTTAACGGTTTTGCGGATATTCGTAGTATTTATTACATATGGGTTTTGTCAACAGGAATTTTTTATCAAAGCCGTTGGAAGTAATAAAAACGAGAATATTTGCGAAACCGCTAAAAATTTTAAAATACAAAAAATGTTCATTTTTTAATTTTCCATCTAACAAAATTATACAGGGTGTTTCATTTAAAAAAAGAAGAAAAAATAGTATTTTATATTTTAGAAAGTTTAACACAGAATTTTGAACACACTGTATGGTTTAAGATTCTGATATTTATAGCAAAGTAACAAACCAAGTGTAGTAGTTTTATTTATTTATTAATATCTCTGAAACTAATCAAAACATATTTAATAGTATTTTAGGATTATGTGATGTGATCATAAAGGAAGCCCAATATGTAATATACAGGGTGTTCCGTTTAAAAAAAAATCATCGCGAAAGACTCATGTTTTTGAGCCACCCTGTAGAAGTAAAACTATTTTCCTGAAATACATTGTAATACATACTTTAGTTTTGCACTTATACAGAACGTTTTTATTATAAGATATAAAGTTTTTATTATAAGAGCTACAGATGCCGGAAGCACTATTATTGCGGGACCTGTTATTTTTTAATAATAAGAGATTCGAGTTTATATTAATCAATAAAATTTACTCTAGATTTTATTGTACAAACAATGTACCTTCTTATACTTAGATACGTAGAATTAAGTTTATTTTTTTATAAATATAATCTCAATTTAGTTTTAACCATTCAATAGTGTCATATAGGCATAATAGGTAATGTGCTACTTGTAAAAAGGGCAATTTGATACAATATTTCTAGTTTTATGAATAAGGGTTAATTTTAATTTGTTACCAGTTTACTTACTGATCATAACAGTATTACTTTTATTAGTTAGTACATCTCAAATTAGCTCGAATTATCAGATTCAGTATGAAAATGAGCACTATCAAGTTGCCCTTAATTTCGTCCATCAGCTAGCAACTGACTTATTGTACTTAAGATTTTGTACGTTTTCTATGTTATTATATAAATAAAGATTTAATAAATTAGGAAGTGTCTCATTGCAAATTAGTACTCTGGGGTAGTCATGGGTAACACTCTAATTTTTCGTGTGTTGATACAGTAACACTGACACCTTTTCCAGTATAAACACAGAGTATCAGCCATAGACTTAAAATAAAATATAGACTACACTATTTACATCTACACGCGGTCAAACAATCATTTTTGTACACATGTTTACTTCTGGGTACACTCGACCGCAGCCGACCAAACCTTCCTCGTCCAGCCTATGTTGTCACGTCTTCAATATTATCAATATTTTTTTACTTATTATACACATATATTGAGATATTAATACTGCATTTTAATAAAGTAGGTTTTAATATTCCATAGATGTATTAAATAGTCCTTATACTACTTTATTATAACTCGAATACTATGTAAAAAGGATAAGTCCTTTACAATATGGCAACACCGATTAGAGGCGAGGTCGCCTATTCATTCTTCTATTATCTTGTAGTAAGCGGCGCACGTGTGTAGTAAAGTATTGTTGCCGCTACTTCTCTCTAGCTGAATTATTGCATTTTCTTAGTTTGTAGTCTTTAAATGTTTATTTTATTTACTTTTTATATTCAAGAACTATAAAATATGGTTCGCCAGTGCCAAATTTGCAAGATTTGAGTGCCAAATTTGCAATCCATTTGAGTCGCGAAACGACTTTCGACCGGTAGGCAACTCTCAATTTACCAATTGGGAGTCAGTGGCGTTGTTGTAGAAAGGCGCTTATTTAGATAATATTTTAGTAAAATGTAAAATCTGAATTTTTTCTATTGCATAATCATTTATATAAAAGTTTTTGTAACAAAATCATAATTATAACCCTGTTATTATACAAGATAAAGTATATTAGGCATAAGGCAAAATTAACCATGTTTTCATTAAAAATATATTCCAGTTTATCCTAAAACTATCTTCAGAATCTAAAATAACATACTAGAATTTTAAAATGATATTACATTATAAAACAATATTTTTTAATATACCGAGTGCGTCTCAAAAGTGACCCCTCTGACTTTCTATTATTTTTTCAGATAAAAAAACAGATTTGTATGTTAGTATATGACATAAATTAGGATTGATTGACGCATTCAATTGTTTTTGGTCACTTCCTGTTTCACCGGAAATGACTAAAACTTTTGATTTTTAAATGGCACCCTCGGTATATTGCTACTTTATTCGATAGAAAATGACACTCTGAATAGAATGACATATCATATGTCAACTTTTGACATTGTCGCTTAAAAACCGATCGTATTACAAACACTAAGTTTTAATCAAGGAGCATTGGAAAAATAGTTTTCATCGTCTAATGTTTTTCGTGTCTTGTCTAGGCCGGTTAAAAGATGCACAAATCGTACCTATTATTAATCATATGTCAATTTTTTAAATAGAACAAGAGTGACTGATTGCATATTTCGAAAAAGCATTTTTTATGAATATATTGATACTTGGTATTTCGAGTCAAATTGTCGTTATGAACCGCGTGTTACAATTTCAATTAAACCATATGCGAAAATGTCAAAAGTTGACATATGATATGTCATTCTATTCAGAGTGTCATTCGAATAAAGTAGAGATATACCTAAGGTGCCATTTAAAAATCGGAAGTTTTAGTCATTTCCGGTGAAACAGGAAGTGACCAAAAACAATTGAATGCGTCAATCAATCCTAATTTATGTCATATACTAACATACCAAATCCTGTTTTTTATTAGAAAAAATAAAAAAATTATGGGGGTGAGCCATTTTTGGGACGCAGCCGGTATAATAGACAGTACCGGGTTAAATAAGTGTAGTTTTCATTTTATCCACTTCCTAAAAGCTTGCTTTAATGAAACAGATCTCTGTTTTCTCTAATTTACATAATAAGACATCACTTACCAGAAAAAAAATTACAACAATCATGTCGACTTTCCATGTCGACGATTCTATTATATCTATAGAATAGATCCTGTTTTGATTAATATTAGGGTTGTAAATGTTTGACTAAAATTAATAATTAATTTATTAATTTAAAAAATTAAATAGGTAATTTCGATTATTAAATTTTTTTCTATAATATGTATTTTATTATTTTTATCGCTTTTGGACGTTTTTTTTTTCTAAACTTTTATTTAAAAAACCTCTCCTAAATCTTAATAAAATATAAAAAAGTTAAATACCATATATTTTAATTAAATATAGCTTCATTAAAATAAAAAATTACCCGGCTATGGTACGGAGAGTTCAGGTGTACTGAGGAACGAAAGACAGTGTTGCATTCCTCGTCAGAGTCGTCAGGGAACGACCGTTACGACGGAGACAACCTATCTATCGCTCGTGTCGCACTCGTTAGAGCCTAAAACAATAACACAACAATAACAAGACATTGTCTGACCGCATCTTCCAGCTATTTATGAATGAGATGCTCAGTCTATATTTTATTTTAAGTCTATGGTATCAGCACGATTGTGTCATATGGCACAGTAGTGAATCAGCATTATTTCAGTTAAACACACTCACTGTCGAAATATAAAATATTCCATGTTGCCAAATGATGAAAAATTGCGTACTTTGAAATACAAGAAAAATTAAACACATTTTTTTGATAATTTAAGGGTAGTTTCATATACAATGCTATCTAATATAGGAGTACAGGTATACTCTTAAGCATCTTGAAGAGCTAAAGTAGTCTTTTAAATTAGAAAATTAGAGCACACATACTCAATAAAAGGATGATGGCAACATTGGTTTGCAAAGGTAGTTGTTACGCAAAATCGGAGATCGGTAATTCCCAAAGCACAAAGCGCACCACGTTTAGTGTTTTAGAAAAAATGCAAAAAACCTTCAATAATTATTAGTTCTACTTTTTTTATAATTACGTTACATTACGTTATATTACGTTCTACTTTTTTTATAATTATGTTTTCTATATACGCTGTGACTTTATTCAAAATATGCAAAATTTAAAATACGGCTCTGATAGCTACGAAATGATCCATGTAAGGTTGATTCTCACTATACCTTGCATTTCCATTCCATATCCGTTCTGTATTTTTATTATATTGACGCTATACGTAAGCTTCCGTTCCGTATCATTGCCATACTTTTTATTGTACAATTTATATCATTACAAAAGTTTTATTCTAAAAAATTGTATCTTTTGAAAAGGGTAATAGATTTAATTAAGAGGCGAAAGAATAAATACATATCAGCAAAATTTTAACAGAGCTGGTACAAATGTAAGAACTTGACAACGCTGTTTCCGATACGCGTCAGTCCGTCTGCCAAAAAATGTATAGAAGGAAAGGATATGGAACGGAATTCATGAATGAGTGCATTGTCCTATTCATTAACATGATATAATATTTTATGTAAACGGAAGGGAGCTGATATGGAAGGTATAGTGAGAATGAACCTTAAATCGTCGCGAGTTGACTAGCTGTCTATGAGTAAGCTGTGCCAAAACGTTGTGTTAATCAAAAATAAATACAAAAGAAGTCCGAAATTCTTTTAGTTTCAATACTGAATCATTGTCAACCGCATTCAAAGTTACTTTCCTGTTTCTCTACCGAGACACTTAAATTTTGTTTAATTTTTTTACCATTACCTTAATAAATAAAACCCCAACATTAATAAATCGCCCTCTAAAAAAGATAAACTGTATTGAAATATTTACATACAGAAATTTTAAATTGCATTTATTTCAATAGGGTCTATGCGTCGTCTTCCATTGGAATTGAATTCATCTCAGTAATGTCCACTTCATAAATATAGAAATCTCCCCCTCTCAAAGTTAGAGTTAGTACATGAAGCAGTCGGTTGAGGCTGGTCGCTCTTAATATGTAAGCCTTCTCCGTTCCTTCCAAGAACATAGTGCCACCTCGCGGGTCAGCTTCAAACATGAAATATTCGTGTCTCTGGGTCTTGCCAAACGCAATTTGCTTTTTATTTGTCTCAGATTTAGTACAGTAAATCACTCCCGCTCTTCTGTCATAATGATCGAAGAACAATCTAAATTAAAGAATAATAAACAGTTAACGATTTTGATAAAAAAAAATCCTGGCACTTTTTATTTTGGAAAGCAAAGCTAGAACAGGAGGAACTATGCTCCCATCTTATCAAGAACCTGTATAAGTATGTACAGGGATAGGAGAATGGATGCAGACAGAAAGGGGACAAGCACAATAGGTCTCACAGGTCCCAGTGTTTCCGGCAGAGAACGGCCCCTTATTATCGAAAAAAAATTGTGTATACAGGCATAAAATGGACAGTCGTGGACAGAATGCGCCGAATTTTGCCTTTATTTAGAAAGTGCAAAATTAAAAATTGTGAAAATGTTCGGGGGCGTCTCAAAAGTGGCTCACCCCTATAACTTTTGTTATTTTTACAGATAAAAAAACGAGATTTGGTATGTTAGTATATAACATAAATTAGGATTGATTGACGTATTCAATTGTTTTCGGTCACTTCCTGTTTCACCGGAAATTACTACGACTTTTGAGTTTTAAATGGCACCCGCGGTACTTTTTTACTTTATTCGATAGAAAATAACACTCTGAATAGAATGACATATCATATGTCAACTTTTGACATTTTCGCATATGGTTTATTTGAAATTACAACTTGCGGTTCGTAACGAAAATTTTACTCGAAATACCAAGTGTGTGGTACCAAATTATTCGTAAAAAAATACTCTTCCCAAATATGCTAATGAGCCACTCTCGTTCCATTTGAAAAAATTGAGATATTATTAAAAATACGATTTGAGCATTTTCTAACTGGCCAGGACAAGACACTAAAAACATTAGACGATCAAATCTACTTTTCCAAGGCTCCTTGATTAAGAATTAGTGTTTTTAACATAATCATGGTACTCTAGATTTAATTTTAAAATTCAATTTTGTTTTAAGCGACAATGTCAAAAGTTGACCTATGATCTGTCATTCTATTCAGAGTGTCATTTTATATCGAATAAAGTAAAAAAATACCGAGGGTGCCATTTAAAAATCAAAAGTTGTAGTAATTTCCGGTGAAACAGGAACTGACCAAAAACAATTGAATACGTCAATCAATCCTAATTTATGTCATATACTAACATATCGAATCTCGTTTTTTTTTATCTAAAAAAATAAAAAAGGGGTAAGCCACTTTTGAGACGCACCCGGTATTATAAAATAACTTACCTCAGTGCTTTATATAAATTGAACTGCGTATTTCTGACCAAGAACATTGTTCCTTCTACTACTGGCCTGAAAGCTACTTTGAAGGCGAACGGGAATATTTTATAGTCTTCCTATAACCGAATTTACATTATTTCGCCGAATATTTATGTAAAATTTGAATCGACTTACGTTCAGATCGTCAAAAGATAACTCATAATCTTTATTTTTAATATCAGCCACACATTCTTGAAAATAGGCGTCAGCATTTGTTATAATCGAATCCACAACCGCGGTATTCCATTCTGTGAAATCGTATATGTACAACATACCAACACAAATAACCAAACTGCAGAGCGTCTGTTTTCCACGGGACTCTTCCGGAAAACTAGAAATTATAAATAAATTCGTAATTTGATTATGTTTTGTTTCATTATTACTTTATTTTATTTCTTCTTTTTATTATTTATTTATTTCTATTTATATTGCATTAATTTGTAACTGTTTTGTGCTACAACTCGAAGACTGTGGCCAGTAGTAGGTAGCAAAAAGACAACAACTACTTGAGCACAAAAAGAACCTAGTACGCATAATTGTAGATGTCATCAATGGAAACTGCACCACGGGGGTAAACCTCGTGAGATGGAAGATTTCCAACCACGACTACTGCAGAGAATGCGGAGAGGAAGAAGAAACTATAGAGTACCTGTTGTGCCACTGTCCGGCACTGGAATACCGACGCTTCAAAACTTTAGGGCAAGGTTTTTTGGAGAGAGTAGAGGAAGCAGCAGAAGCCACCATCAGCGACATCGGGAACTTTGCAAAGAGATGGAAGTGCTTTAAAGCAAAGAAAGAATGAGAGGAAGCTTTGGTACATTGATATAGGGGTATCTAAATGGGCCCAAGGCCTCCGAGTGAGGGATCAAACATGATCCCAAACCTCACCAACCTATCCTAACTGTTTTGAAAGATCTATTATTGTTAAATTTTTTCATAATTATTTAGGATATGAGATACGTTTCTTTGAAACATTTTATTTATCAGTAAGTGAGTATTCAGTAATGATTCTAATTTATGATTTTACTGCTCTAAATTAACACATAAAAATAACAAAATAATAATTTTGAGCGTTTAAAAATAATAGAATAAAACGTTAGAACGCAAGAATATTCAAATAAACAACTGTCAGTAGCTAATAGCTGTCACTATCAAAATATTTAGTGCGAAATGCAACTAGGTCCCTAGATGATGTCGACCGGCACCGGTGCAGAAAAACTGACAGTATAGGAAGTACAGGGATTGAAGAATCTTATCTCTATCGTACCCTTGAGTATAATCTACCTTTTACCTTACGAAATGAAAGAAAAAATTAACAATCAACATCGATCCGTATGATCGAAAAAGAAACGGTGTCCAGTTGGCTTGGAAATCACCATCGATGACATTCCCCATATAATTAAAAATCTAAGATGACAGCGATTTTCATGTCATAGCCATCGCTGACATCGTTTCTTTTTCAAAACCATATTGTTGATCATACGCACTATAAGATGCATAGAATGATATCTGGCTAAAATTTTAAGACATGAAAAGTTAGTAATAGTCTTTTTAGCCATAGAAAACTGAGCAAAATCGAAAACAGTATTTTAAGTGAAAACAACACAAATCTAGGCCCGAATTGTGTAACGTAGAAAAGACGCTCAGCGTATATGACGTTAATTTTTGCTTAGCTCGCACTTGACTACCGATTTGGATATTCTCATTTGATGCGCTTAGCGTCTTTACCCATTGAGCTAAGCGATTTGAAAACGGCTACCTAAAAGGATCGTTTTGCTTGTCGAACTGTCAGTAAAAAAAGAAAAAAATGTGATTTTGTGCGTTCTGTTGCTCTTTAGTGAAAACTACTCATTTTTCTATAAATTCCTCAATAAGGTAACTGATAACTTACTACTTGGCAGCTATAATTATTCTTCAAAACATCGAAAATGCTGAGAAGCCTTTTTATCATTTCCCTCGTATAATAAGAATAATGACATATCCATAGAAAAATAGGTTGACATAACTCAACAATTGGTTATGAAATATCAACAAGGTTATGAAATTCACGTAACATTGACATTTTTCATTGTTTTATCCACATTTGACTGTTAAATACCTGAGAAATTGCGATGCTGTCAATATGTGTTCAACGCGTATCCAGAACACGATTCGCATGGCAACGAGAATACCAAAATCGACTGCTTGGCGTTCCGCTAATCGAATACTTTCGCTTACCGCTTTGAAAGCGTAATGTTTTTATGTCAAAGTTCCAGAATTTGGGCCCTGATTTTGAAACTGAAGCTAATCACTGATACTATACAAGAAATAATCGTGTTTATAAAATCGGCGTTTCAACTTAACACTGTAGAGTACATTAGCACAAACTAAAAATAGATATTTACGATACAAGTGAGTTAACAGCATCATTAAGGTACGCGTGTGAAAGTTGCACAACGAGTGAGCACGAGTTGTGTAACCACACAAGTATCATAATGGAGTTAACTCGCGTGTATTGTACAATATTTTATCTACGTCTAACTACAAAAACGCACAATGAATTTTAATAATTATTGTACTTAACTATACCGGATGTTACATCGTCGGATGAGACATAGGAAATTCCATGTAAATTTTAATGGGGTCAATTATTGGCTTCTCAAATTATTTTAGAGATTAATTCTATTTAGGTGTATTGAAGAGCACTAAAACCCACATTCAAAAGAATAACTTTAGATATTTTTGATTAGCCCGTTTACGAGTTATCGCCGATTTCTTTTTAAATATTTCTCCTTTCTTATGGCCCTGCATTTACTTATGATCACCAGTCAAGGTGAAAGATAACTGTCAAATGAAGTTGTCATTTCAGAAATTTACCTATTTAGTGCTTTATTATTATTGAAAACTCATTGCTACATCGGAAATCTTAAAGATGTATTTATAAATACAAATTAATATGAATTAAAGTAAAATAAAGTAATCAATTATAAGGTTAATTATAGTATTATTACAATATTCAATAACTTATTAATTTAGGTACTATTAAATGACAATGTGGTGCTCATAAGTAAATACAGGGCCATAAGAAAGGAGAAATATTTAAAAAGAAATCGGCGATAACTCGTAAACGGGCTAATCAAAAATATCTAAAGTTATTCTTTTGAAAGTGGGTTTTAGTGCTCTTCAATAAACCTAAATAGAATTATTCTCTAAAATAATTAGGGAAGCCAATAATTGACCCCATTAAAATTTACATGGGATTTCCTATGTCCTGCTCGACGATGCAACACCCGGTATACCTATCCCAAAAATCAATTAATTAATCCTTAATACAATCAATCAAATCCTTGTTCAAATAACACCATGCATGGCGATGTCAATATGACAGTAAATAATATTATTGATGTCACGAGTTTAAAAAATGAGCGATTTGGAAAGTATTCCCTCTGACATTGAAGAAGAGGCATTCAGAACCATTTCTGGATTGCTTCCAGCAAGATCGAAACAGAAGTATGAATATACATACTCTAAGTATGAAAAAGGGTGCACGAAAAAAAAAGTACACAACTATGGAAATGAAAAGGTACTCAAAACATATTTTTCCAATTTATCCGCTACTTATAAGCCTTCGTCTCTTGGGCTTTTAATAGAAATTCAATGACACATACTATGATATATATTAAACTGAATATATATGCTTCATCAGGCATTTACTTGAAAGATTGTTCAAACTGTATCATTAACATTTATAATAAATAAGTTTTCATGTATTTATAATTATTATCAATAGAACAGTTTAGTTGTATTTAGTAGGTATTTAGTGCAAAATAAATGTTTTACAAAATATTTTTTTTCTCTTTGGTAGTCATCTAAACAAGGAGTGCGATAATGAAAATGCGTGAGTTAAGAAGCTCTTAACTCACTCAAAATACGTCAGTTAAGAGCTTCTTAACTCACTGACGTAGATAAAATAATATTACCTCTCCGATTCCTGATTAATAGTTCCAACCAAAGAATACAGATCTTTGTCGTATTCGATATCCCAATTGTGCCACAAATTACTAATAGTTCCTCTCTCATGACCTGCAGGTGATTTATTCACTGCTCTAGACCAAGGAATAGGATCTGCTAGAAGCCATTTGGCATCTTCGTAGAATGGTTTGCCTGCAACAATAAGTATTTAGTATTTATTTTCTTAAATATGGACAACAATTAATTCTGATGACTTGAAACTAGGGGCAACTCTCAAAAGTAACTTTCTTAACAATTATCGTTCTTATCTTATGTAAAGTTAAGAACAGTGATGTATATTAATAAAAAGTGACACAGCTCCGGATGCTTGGATTACTGAAAATATTGCTGTTCTTTTGAAGGTAAGTCGCTAAGGAAGAAAAGAAGTCTTGAAGAAAGTTACTCCAACAAAACAAAGTCTTTGCCATTTAAATTTTGTTACCTCTCTATTGCAACTTTTACTGTCACTTTTACTGTACTTAAATCTCAATGCTCTTAACTTGAAAATAATGAATAATAATAAATAAATGTCTAATACCTAACAATAAAAATGATGTAAGTTGAGAAAGTTTAATTTTTTCTTGATTCGTCTACTGCTAAAGTAAATATTTTATATAATTGGCGTCAAACTATCATAATAATATACCGAGTGCGTTTTGAAAGTGGCTCACCCCTTTAACTTTTATTTTTTCAGATAAAAAAACGAGATTTGGAATGCTAATATATGACATATGTATGTATATTAGGATTAATTGACGTATTCAATTATTTTTGGTCACTTTCTGTTTCATCGGAAATGACTAGAACTTTTGATTTTTACATGGCACCCTCGGTATATTTCTACTTATAGACAATTATACTCTGAGTCGAATGACGAAACATATGTCAACTTTTGACATTTTCGCTTAAAAAATCGTATTTTAAATTTCAATCTAATCTAAAAACACTAATATTTAATCAAGGAGCCTTGATATATTTGATCGTCTAATGTTTTTCGTGTCTTCTCCTGGCCGGTTAAAAGATGCCCGAATCTTTTTTTTAATCATATCTCATTTTTTTCTAATAGAACAAGGGTGGCTCCTTAGCATATTTGGAAAAAAGAATTTTTTACGAAAAATTTGGTACCACACACTTGGTATTTCGAGTCCAATTGTCGTTATGAACCGCATGTTACAATTTCAAATAAACGATATGCGAAGATATGATATGTCATTGGAGTGTCATTTTGTATCGAATAAAGTGGAAATATACCGAGGGTATGCCATTTAAAAATCAAAAGTTGCAATAATTTCCGGTGAAACAGGAAGTGACCAAAAACAATTGAATGCGTTAATTAATTCTAATTTAGAATGTACAAGATAGCTTTATAGCCGTAAAAAACTCATCGCAACTTTATTAAAATATTTTGAACGGGAAAGCGGTGATAATGACCCTTTATGTCCCTTAAGTATCAAGAAGGTGAGTTTTGTTGATATAAATACCTAATAACTGTTTACATATTTATAATTAATTTATTTCTGTTTCCTAAAATACTTCGATTAAAAGAAAATATGTAAAAGTCGGCAACGCTGTGCCGGTCAAGCTTAATCACATGAATAAAAGTTTATTTGGTATGATCTTATAGTTCTAATTGCTGTTTAAAAAAAATATGTTTTATAAAATAATTAGTGTAAAGAGCATTTAGATTTGCTTTTTTTGTTCAAAATTAATATTTTTCACCTCTCATATGCCTAGATCATATACAGGGTTGTTCACCACATACGACACGAAGTATTGTAGCTAAACGACTAGATTTTTACAAATTGTAAGTTTTGGATTCGTTGAAGGACTATTAGAGCTACAATTTAAAAATATTTTTACAAAATACAGAGTGTCCCAAATAAATAAAAAATATCAAAGTTGTATTTTTTTAAATGGAACATCCTATATATTATTACATTTTAGTTTCTACGCTTAAAATAAAGGTAAATTTGATTAAGGTTTATTACACTTAAACCTTACCGTTTTGAAATATTTTCAATTTTGTGAAATTGCGGTATAAATTTTAAGGCTTCATTTCTCCGAGGGTATCAAAGTTTTTATTACTAAATATTTACTGAAGTTTATTTATTGATCAGTTATTGTGTTGCAATAATAAAAACTTACTACCTTATACAGAGTGTCTAAAAATTAATTTTAAATAATTACTAGCTTTAAACGGCAATAATTTGTTTAATTTAAATGGAACACCCCGTATATATTTTATAGGAATCAGATGCACAATTTAATTGTCTATCAAATTGTATTATACGATTTTTTACCTATCTCTTCAAGTTTCCGTAGAAAATGCATTTTCTTGTAATTTAGAACCCATTTATCAATATACCCATGGAATACTGACATTTTAGATTATTTTTAAAGATGTACCAAATTTTTAAAGAGTACAGATACTAATCTTGTCGATATAGTTCGTTTATTTCATTAAAAAAAAACTGTTTAAATATTTGTTAAAAAGGACCAATTAATATGATTCCAGTATTCAAACTACATTAATTGACTGTTTGCGTTGATTAATAATAATTGCTCCAAATACTATATTATGTTTGTGTATTAGACAGTGTGGTAAAAAGTAACACCTTAAAAATGATATTTAATTTTTCGACAAATGCCCATTTATAACAACAGTTCATTTTCATAACTTATTATTATATTGATTTCTGATTCAAATCCACATTTATTTAGAATAATTTATTAACGAACACAATTAAGTATGTAGTTAATTAGTATTTGGGCGGAAATACTGGGGGTATAATATTTAATTAATGGTATACTCTTTTATAAAGATTTAAATAGTTTTTTTTGCATACAAATGGGCTAGTAATATTATCGTTTTACTAAAAACGATAATATTACTAGCCTGTACGTTTTGTACATTTGTTGTTTTAAAAACAATCTAAAATGTCAATATTCCATGGGTATATTGATAAATGAGGTCTAAATTATACGAAAATGCATTTTCTACGAAAACTTGAAGTAATAGGTAAGAAGTGGTATAATACAATTTGATAGACAATTAAATTGTGCATCTGATTCTCATAAAATATACAGGGTGTTCTATTTAATGTAAATAAGTTATTGCCGTTTAAAGCTAGTAATTATTTAAAATAAAATTTTAGACACTCTGTATAAGGTAGTATAATTTTTATTATTGCAACACAATAACTGATCGATAAATAAACTTCAGTAAATATTTAGTATTAAAAACTTTGATATCCTCGGAGAAATGAGGCCTTAAAATTTATACTGCAATTTCGCAAAATTGAAAATATTTCAAAAACGGTAAGGTTTAAGTGTAATAAACCTTAATCAAATTTACCTTTATTTTAATCGTAGAAACTAAAAATGCAATAATATACAGGGTGTTCCATTTAAAAAAATACAACTTTGATATTTTTTATTTATTTGTGACACTCTGTATCTTGTAAAAATATTTTTAAATTGTAGCTCTAATAGTCCTTCAACAAACCCAAAACTTACAATTTGTAAAAATCTAATCGTTTAGCTACAATACTCCGTGTCGTATGTGGTGAACAAGCCTGTATACTTACGTGGATAAATCAACGCCATAAGTTTAGCATTAAAAAATATGTCTCCAACATCAAGACATGCCATTGTCAAACCTTCTTTATTTATTTGCACTTATGAAACATTCAATAGATTTGTCTTTCTCGAGGACCTTACTCTGCGCCCCCATGCGCATTAAAAGTTGCACATGTTTCCAAAATATGCACAATTTTATACGGTTTAAGCTGATTTTCATGCATCCGTTATCCGACGATACGATGATACGATATTAATTTTATTGATTGAATTTAATGACTTCGATTGGTTAACCGCTTCTAACCAATCGAAGTCTTTAAATTCAATCAATAAAATTAATATTGTATCATCGTATCGTCGGACAATGGATACATGAAAATCAAACTTTAGAAAGTACAAATTAAACATTGTTATGGAAACTATGTCTATTGTCATCATATTGTCATAATTTTAACTCTATGGTAATAATCATATGGCATAGTCTTATTTCCATTGTGTAAAGCTTGATTTTCATACATCCGTTCTCCGACGATACGTTGATACGATATTAATTTTATTGGTTGATTTTAAAAACTTCGACTGGTTAGAAAAGGTTAACCAATTCAAGTCTTTAAATTCAACCAATATAATTAATATCGTATCAACGTATCGTCGGACAACGGATGCATGAAAATTAAGCTTAACGACGCTTGTTTTTTGCGTTTTTTATTTTAAAAATTGTATTAATTTCTCTTTTACCGACCGCTTTTATACAGCCAAGGATGCAAGTGTGTTCAGTGAGAAGCTTATTTTAAGTTTGTGCAATTATATTTCTATTTTTTTTTTCGTTGGACTTTCTAAATACTCTTAAAAATGACTAGAACGTGTTTAGTGTGTGAAAGTTCTAATGTAAAGGTCCCCGAATTATCTTTTCATAGGCAAGTAAAGTATTCAGTTGTTCTTTTATATATATTAAGCAACATGCATACTTTCTGCTTAGATTTCCTGAGAATATTGATATTCGTACGGAGTAGCTAAATGTATTTTTTATATAATTTAATTTTTGTGACAGTAAACATTCAATTTATTGTTCAAATATAAGCATTTTACAAATTAAATTTTTAAAATTAATTTGACGCGCGGACGATAGGTCCTCGACAAGGATAGATAGAGTAGAAGAACCGCGTGTGCAACAAAAAAAGTAGATAAATGGAAGTCGTTGGTATGCTTGCGACTGTTTCCATAGTGATTTACTTATCCACGTAAGTATATATGATCTAGGCTCATATGTAACAAAAATACATCCTGTTGCTATAGATAATAACAGATTTACCAAACTTCTCAGACTTTCTTCGCTTCGCCATTTCATGTTGATTTAATCTATAGTTAATTAACATATCTTTCGGTGCTTTTCTAATCGATGTCACTTGGAAGGTATAGAAATCATAACTTCCTGATCCTTTCTTCGTTATTTCTTTTAGTCGCTTCTTAGCTTGCTATAGATATTTCAACATAAGATATGGCATTATAATTAGTCGCGACTTAAATTTTTACCTTCAGAGTTTTACATTTTAACCATCCAGCAACATTCTCACTGCTACCCTCTGCATTTTTTTCATCTTTGCTACTTTTCTTTGGAAGGTTGCATGGGAAGAAAATGTGAAATGTTTCGTCTGTTGCAGATTTATGCACTACGTAGCATTTGTCGGGAAACTGTATTAAAAAGTAGGCCATTTTCTTTCGCAATAAGGTATCGATGCCTAAAAAAGGATGAGTCACAATGAAGTGCTTCTGAAATTATATTTCTTTATTATAATTAGTGATAGGAAAAACCGATTAATTTCAATAATCGAGTACTCGAGTTCTAAGCGATTGTAATAACCGAGTGATCGGTCGAGCGAAATATCACTCGTATTTAAAAATACGGTTTTTCACCCGTCGCTTGTTGTAAGTACTCGTTAACGCCAAGCAGTAAGTTGCGTGCGCAGGGCACATATTCTTTCGGTGATGAATAGCAAGTAGCAAGCGGCGCGGGCGAGCGATTCGCTTGATCGCTTGATTTAGTTTATTTCATAGCATTGTCGATGTATAGGTCGTAAAATTTTGTCTCTCAGATACGCAACGGATAAAACATATATATATATATATATATATGGCGTCGTATAAATTTGCTAACTGCAATGTATGTAGAAAATTCGCTCGGCTTTTTATCGAGTATGTCACATTAAAATCGGATTTCAATTTATTTCATTCTAGGATCGCTTGCTTTCGTCGCTTGGTACTCGTCACTTAATCACACACATCGCTCGTTCATAATCGAGCGATGTCGGTTATTTCAATAATCGAGTACTCGAGCGAAATTTCGCTCGAGTGATCTTAATTATAATTGAATTTACTTTATGTCCTCAATACAAAACACCTTTTCAACGATAGAGGTTGATTCTCACTATACCTTCCGTTTCCGTTCCATATCCATTCCATATCTGTTCCGTATTTTTTATTTTATTGACGCTTTATTATATGCAAGCTTCCGTTCTGTATCAGTTCCATACTTTTTATTGTACAATTTATATCAGTAAGAAAGTTTTATTTTAAAAATTAGCTTTTGAGAAAGGTAATAGATTTAATTAAGAGGTGAAAGAATATATAAATATCAGCAAACTGTTAATATAGCTGGAACAAATATAAGAACTTGACAACGCTGTTTCCGATACGCTTCAGTCCGTCCGCCAAAAAAATGTATGGAAGGAAAGAATATGGAACGGAAGGGAAACGGAACGGATAGGGGGCTGATATGGGAGGTATGTAAGAATCAACCTTTTTAGGTGGCATTTAAATTTATTGTTTTAAGACTGAATCCCTGGACCAACAAAGACGAATCCGAGTGGTCCGAATTATATTCGGGAAATTTCGGCAGAATAATCTGCAGATAATAATAAGTAAAAAAGTTCGTACAAATTTGTCCTAAAATGCGTAGTTTTGGAGATACAGGGCGTAGAAGTTTCATTTTTATTTCGATTTATTTCAAATAATTTCTGAACTATAGTAGATACATATATGGATGAAACTTTTAGCAGATTTTGATGTCAGTATGACCCCTACTTGTTAGGGCGCCACCTACACGTTTTTGAACTGTTTTAAAGAGTAGGAACTTTTCACCCGCATTAAACTATATACTGAGTGAAAAATTATACTTTCTGATAATTTTACCTAGAAAAGTTTTCGCTACGAGCAACCGTTCTGAGGATATTTATAAACACAAAGGCGTTTTTTTACATGAGAAATTTGATTTCAATGTCAATATGACTCCTATACATGTAGGGGGCGCCAACTGTTAAGTTTTAACTGTTTCAAGAGTAATTTTTCGTCCGTACCTATTACTGAGAAACTGAGGGAAAAATATACATTTGCGTCATTTTTTACGTAAAAAAGGTCTCTTGGTAAAAATCGCTGCGAGCAATCGTTCTCAATATATTTAAAGTGGAAGTAATCAAGACATGCCATTATTGACAAAATAATAAAAAAAGTTGAGTGTTGAGTAGGAGTATAAAGATTTGACTGAAATGATAAATTTAGGAACTTTTTATTTTTTAAAATTAATCATAATTTTTTTTTTGAAATAATTATGTGTGAGGTTCAAGTTAATGTCTCCTTTCTGCTGCAATGGCTAAACTGGACGGGACCTACTTTGTTTACGCGGAATCCGAACCGCGGTCCTCGGCCATATCATGGTCAATGGCCTACCGACTTAGGAAGTGTCTAAATTAACTCTTACTCACGAGATATCCGATCTCATCCGGCCTCGAACCGGCGTGAATGAGCAGTGTGTATCAATAGATTTTACACTTTTCCCTTGGACAACAGCACGATGCAGTTTCGAACCGGTCACCCGTCCATCAACTAGCATCGCCTTACGTCGCTTAACTTCGGTGTTCTAATGGGAACCGGTGTTTCGACGTAGCTGGGCCGTTGCCCTGAAATATTTATGATAAAATAGTAATTTTAAATTTATTATTATAGTCTAATAACTATCTAGTCAACATTACGTTTAATTAACATCAATGTATTGATAATTTCGATTCCAAATATCTCGAGAACCGTTCCTTGTGGCTTGTACTCAGTAGCTTTATACAGGTACGGACGAAAAGTTATTACTCTTTACTCTAACAAAGCAATTACAAAATATGTATTTGGCCCCTCTACAAGTAAGAGTCATAGTGACATCAAAATCAAATTTCTCATATCAAAAAACTAATTTTATCCAGATATCGACGTTAATTTAAAAATTATTTGGAAAACATCGAAATAAATATTAAATATTTACACCCTGTATCTCCAAAACTAAGCATTTTAGGACATACATTTATACGAACTTGTTACTTATTTTTATCTGCAGAATATACTGCCGAGTTTCCCGAATACAATTCTGGCCACTCTGTATAAACAATAAACTCAATAAACAGATTCAAAATAAATTTAAAGCTAATGATGAATGAAATTTCAGTATTCAACATGACTAACCATAATTTATTTCTTTATTTTATTTTACTATAGGCTTGGTGCATTCTCCGCCGGTGCTGCCACCATCGGAGAATATCATAAACAACCAGTAACAAAACTTTTTTTAAGGGTACATTATTATCATTTTAGAAGATGTTCATAAAACATTTATCACTAGTTGATTAAAAAAAGTATACCGTTAATATTGCAAATTATATATTATCCTCTCTTAGTATATGTCTATTTAATTTTTTGATTATGTATAACGAGCACTTTGTTTACTCACTTGTTTCTTGGAACTGCTTGAATCTATTTTTCCTTTTGATTAAAATGGGCGTGAGAAACCAGGAAGCTCTAAAATTTTTCGGGAGAGAGGAATATCCGGGAAAGTTAAGTTATTGAATGTTATTTCACCCAAGAACGCTCTAATCACGCTTTCCTTTACGTGTTAACATTTTTTCGTCAATTTTATTAACATTTGCAATTACCACAACACAACACGACGCCTAATTCGGGTTCTTTTTCACTTATTTTTTACTAACCGAAACACCCGATCACTAGTGACGTCGTTGTTACGTTACCAGGCCTAATATGAAGCAATAAAACGCAGATACGTAACTGTTCCCTAATGTTCCCTAAATGTGACAAAACTTTACTTTCTGGGCAGGGTTACATCACACAAACCTCGTACGAGTGTTTATATTTCAATAACTGCACTAGCAAAAAACTATTAAAAGTATTTTACTTAAATATTATGACAAAGCAACGGTTTCAATATTATTTTAATGTGACCAACATGAACTGTAACCGAAACGGAGTGAAATACATAGCGAAAATTTCTGATTTCTACCGTACAGAGTGCGCGTCGGAATTTTCTGAAATCAACTGAAATGCACCAAGCCTATATAGAATTCATGAATTCTACATAGAAGATATAAGAACTTGAAATGAATGATGATAAGAACAGAAAAATATTTGTATTTTAAGAGTTAAAAATGAAGAACGAAATTATTGGGCAAACCCTACAGTAAGATTAGTCATGAAAACATGACTAAAATATGACTACCCGTAGACACTTAGTGTTTCTGCCTTCCGGCTTCATCAATATGGGAGGAATCAGTAACGATGAACTAGTGATCCTGAAAAAAGAAAAAGGGAAGCAAACGAGGCACGAGGCACCATTTGCAACTTGGTTAAGCAGTATCTCACAATACGCGAGCGTTACCACCCAAAAACCGCTGCAGAGGTACTCCAACATACCTCGCTGCTATCACCTTGCATGGCCTTTGGCCCAGAGAAAACAATAAACAAAGGTTGATAAAATATAGCATATTTTAGTCATGTTTTCATGACTAATCTTACTGTAGGTCTTGCCCAATAATTTCGTTATTCTTTTTTTATTACATTTTATTGTTTTCTCTGGACCAATGTGATAGCAGCGAGGTATGTTGGAGTACCTCCGCAGCGGTTTTTTGGTTGTAACGCTCGCGAATTCTGAGCTACTGCTTAACCAACTTGCAAATGGTACCTCGTGTCTCGTTTGCTTTCCTTTTTCTTTTTTTCAGGATCACTAGTTCATCGTTGCTGATTCCTCCCATCTTGATGAAGCCGGAAGGCAGAAACACTAACTGTCTACGGGTAGTGATATTTTAGTCATGTTTTCATGACTAATCTTACGGTAGGCTTTGCCCAATAACTTCGGTCTTCTTTTTTATTACAGTCCCCATGATAACATCCTTTGTTTATTTTTTATGAGTTAGTTAACATACCAGTACTTAAATTCTTGTTATCCTTCCAATTTTCTATTTTAACTTTTTTTACAATGATATCGAAAAAGTTTTTCTGTATCAGTATATTCTTAATGGTGCGTTTGTCGGACATTTCCAGGTCATCTGCGTGAGAATAAATATGAGCTCCATGATCCAAAACCTATAAAAGATAACATTAAAATTGATATCATATAGATAAATTTAATCTCTTTTACTTCGTCAATTTTTTTGGTGTCCCATTTTTCGACTGGGCACGAGAGTAACATTAAGCAGGCACAAATGCAGCAAAAATGATCTTCCGTAAGCTCAGCTGTTCCAGCACGCGCAGCCTCATCATTTGCATCATCTCCAGACGATTCCATTGCTCTAGTGCCTTTTATAACGTAATAGCCATTTTCATATCGATATCTAAACGTAGTTACAAATGTATATTAGTGATACATTAGATTTAGATGGTGTCAAGTTTTATTTCGTTGTATAGTTGTTCAACGACAGAATATGACACACAGTGACAGTCATTGATAGGAAAGAAAATAGGAAAAATTATAATTTTTCTTTTTAATTGGCAACATAATTGGATTTAACAACTTGTTGCCTTGCAGATTTTATATATTTTTGTTAGACCTACTACAATATTGTAAAACTCTAAAATGAAGAAATTGGCGCTTATCATATTTTTCCTCTGGACCTTTCAAATGTTATCTATCGCAGAAAGTATTATTATTCGTAGAAAGTATTGGCACAAAGCCAACCATTCCAATCTAAATTTATTTCCTTTATCTATATGGCATAATATCAAATTAATTCAGGCATTATTAAAGTAGGTATTCTTTCTCTCATTTTCATACAATACATACAGTAGTAACGATTGTCATAACTCGGGTCCTATGTGGGCTAGAGGCAAAGACTGTATATATTCTAAAGGACTGTTCGATCGCGTCAAATCGCCGCTGTCATAGTGGCCGTGGATGCTTACGTCACGCAGGGACGAGCGCTCCACAGTACGGCGGATGGTTATTCTAGCGGGACAAAATCTCAGGAGCGATGTTTGGGACTTAAAATCTAAGAACGTAATGGTCTAATATATAGCAGCCATATGGTTAAATTTATTTATTTATTAATAAATAAATAAATACAAGATAATAAAACTATGATATTATTCGTACAAGACACACAAAAACCGTACTGTAAACTATTGCCAAATACATAAAATTATGATATCAGGTGAAATACAAGAAACTCTCTAGCAGTTATTTTTTAATTACTTGGTAATCTTGTGACACCCTGTATATTTTATTTTAAAAAATTCTATTTTATTTTGAAAATAATTAATAAGATATATATTTTAATTTTAACACTCGGTAATTGTAAATTCATATATAGTAAGTATCTAGTTTTATTATAAATTATCAGAAAGTAAAAAAAGACTTTAGCATATCGTCATGCTTTATTTAACTAGAATATAATTTGAATGTTTTTGTCTTGAGGAAATTGCCGAACTGACTATTGGTGTCATTCATTAGCTGCCCATACACGGAAAGGCCCTATCTTCGGCTTTGGGTCCGGGCCTTTAGCCCAAAATACCATAGGTTTGCGTGAAAGGCAAAGTCCGCGGATATATTTCCGCTATGGTAATTTGAGTCTCAAGACTCCGGCCTCAAGACCAAGTCCGAAGGCCGGGCCTTTCCGTATATGGGCAGCTATTAATTTTTTAAACTCAGTGCCTTTATGGTTTTATGGAGTTAAGGTTTCAACAATTACAGCAGCATCCTTACTCCCACTTTCAAAACCCAATTCTTCTTTTGAATGCTCTACAATTAACCCTTTAACGAGTCTTTGTTTTGTTTTTATACTATCCGATTGAAATGAAACTTTTGGACATTCACCTGGTAAGCTTGAACCAAAGCTTGAACTTCCTGTGACTGTGACTACCTGTGTTGGTAACTATTGGTAACTCAAAAGAATCATTCAATATATCGATATTTGAAAAAAAGTGAAAGTTTAATATCTGCAGAACAAAGGCACGAAGGATAAAGTTATATGTTCATATAACCTACCCACCAAAAACCACCGTGTCCACACTGCAAAGTTGGATACGACGGCGACGTTTCCTTTACATCTTCGTCAGGGTGGGTTCGTCAAATGGGTTCGTCAAATGTGGGTCGATTTCGGCATAATTGGGGACGGGCTACAGTATGACGCCCTCGACGTTTCGAACTGACGCACAGTGTGAAATTTACGGAGTGTAGCTGGAAAAAAATATTTCAGCGACTCTTTTAATGAAATATTAGTCTTTTTCGCTTTTGTATAAGAAATTTTATCAAGGCAAGGTAGATCATGCACCCAAATAATCGTAGCAGGGCATATACAGGGTCTCTCATAATGTTTGGTACATATGGGAAACTTTTTTACTATATTATCAGTGATTCATAAAATTTTATTTTTAATAAAAGATTTTGTTGATTAGAGAATAGTTTTAAGGTTAGTAACTACGGAGTTTAATATACGGAGTGTCTAAAATTGTACAAAATGTGGCGTTGCCGAACCAAAATACATAATCTATAAGAAAGGCAAATAAGAAAGGCAAATAAGAAAGTACCATATACAAATTTTTGTGGGTCAAACCGATTTGAAAAAACTATCTAAATCGGAGAAAATCATACAATCAAAGAAAATAAAATAATCAATTGTTGATTTCTCGACGAACGGCACCGCACAAAGAGACTGTATTTGAGGTGTTTCTTTCATTTTGGTACTCTTGCTAATACAGATAATCGAAAATCTCCCCTTAACCAATCAGAATTTTTAGATAAGAAGATATATGTTTATGCCTATTTGCCTTTTTCCATTTGTTCTCGATATTCTGACAAAACTTCCTGGCTGAAACTCTTACACTTTCTTTGACAAAAAGATTACTAGAATCAAAGCGTTCCAATATAAAATTCACCACAGCGGTTTGCCGTTTTCTTTGGAGTGTTAGAATTCCAAACCTCATATACCTATACATCCTGACTAGTGAAGCGCGCAGCCATCTTAAGAAATATATATGTATAGCTAAAGCGCACCTAAACGCAGCTAATTTTTTTATGTCGTATGCTATAATAAGTGGGCTTTCAAGAAATGACAAAGTTATCGTGGTATTATGTGGTATTATGTAACAAAAACATGTTTAAAGTAGCTAAATTACAATTTTTCATAGGTAACTGCAGGTACTTCTTTAACATTTCTTTTCAGTCAAACTATATAGCAGAAATATTTTTTAAAAATGATAGCTTACCACGTAGGCCTAATATAAAAATAATATCAATGTAGTTATTCTAGATATTTTAGATGATTTTACCGTATTGTCCGAAAGATAAAGTAATGAGCATTTTTAAATGATAAGCTTGATTTTAAAAATAAACATATTATGTTTTTTTATTGATGAATGGACATTCCTTGAATAAATTTTACAATAACTTCGGACCTGGGATAAAGTTGGTAAATTGAATTAATTCCACCTAGAACGTCAAAATTTCACACTGTGCGACGTCTCTAAATAGGCGAAATCGTCAGGATTTTTCTTAATTATGGGTCGATTGGAACCAAACTCGGCACGTGGATAGAGGTACCGAATGTAGTTCTCAGACGACAGACAGACGGAAGTAAGAAAATAAGTTTCACTTCACATAGTGCACACACAATTTTTATATCTTTTTCTATTTGTCATTTATTTATTAAATTATATGTTACGTAAAATTTATTACCCAACTTTATTTTCAGCATCAGGTTTATCATCATCTTCATCTGAAGCTTGAGATTTTTCACCGTGCAGATTACCGTGTATTTCATCCTCGCCACTTTGAGCTGCAATCTGTTCCTCCTCCGATTTGACGGGCCCCCACCAATCACTTTTATTTGTTTTTGACTTTTGTTTCAGAGATTTTCTTGAGATTTGTTTTGAGATTTGTCTTGAGATTTGTCTCTGAGGTTCTTCTTTATCTTTAGCCAATCTTTCCTCTATATTAATAATATGATATTAACGAATAAATTTAACAATTGCGTGAAATCTGTACCTGACGGATGAAGTCTCTTTACTTTCACTAAACTTAAGACAAATCTGGTATACACAACTTCTTCGAGACTCTCTCGCTTCCGTTTATTATACATTATTCTAGTTACAAGAGCATGTATATCCTATACAGAAAAAACAATATCTTAGATTGTGTATACGAATATCTTAAAACTTATTTGCTTGAATTTCAAGTAGTGCATATTCTCATTTTAAGCAAAAATGATACAATTAAAAATATTCGTAAATTTAAACGCAGTAATCTGTTTTCTCAATAAATATCTTTATTTTAAGTTAACTATTTCAGATTCATGAAATTATAAGTTTCCATTAAAAAATTGTATTACTCCCGATAGAGTAGGCAATTTTTATATTAATATTATCTTATTTTGAAATAAAATTATGGAATCTTAATATTAAATAAGGATTTACTCAGTTATATATACAGGGTGGCGCACGGTGAGGTATTAGCATGAAAAAGGTGATCGAAATTCGAAAAAGCAAATGTGTTTAAGATTTCCCAAAAAAAGATAAATGATAAGTTAAATAATGTCTACCATGAATGGCGTTGCTATGGGTGTGTTTAGTTGCATTCATTTGTTTCAACGAAACGTCAAAGTTGTTACTTCTCACAGATAAGAGGTAAATGGCTAAATTTTATGTTTAAAATTATAAATTGTTGTTCTTCTTGTGCTCTTTTTACGTTTATATTATTGTTTTGATTGAAAATGGCTCAGCAAGCTGCAGGTATGTATTCTACAGAAACGTATTATTTATTTTGATATTCTCTATACTAACGATTTTTTTTTGCAACTAAAAGTTAGGCTTTCAGAAAATTTGATCAAATTTGTGACATTTTTATTATACTTAGAGATTTAGTTGCGCATTTCGAAGAATTCAGCATATTGTCTATATACGTTTTACTTAGTAAACATTGGGCTTTCATACAGTAAAATAAAATACTGCGACTTTTTGCGACTTTGCTGATAAAATGAAAAAAACATTCTTGGTTTCTTCTAATTTGCCAATCAGTGATATACTAATGCGAGGTGTAAACCGCGATGGCATTGTTGTGTACAAAGCGATCGCATTAGTGCCATTAGCAGTATAGGACAATTTGGCATTAGTAGCGACTTTAGTGGTATGGGCATTGCTCGCGGATCAGTCGTAGCATTAGTAGTATTAGTTGCGATATTACTACTGGCATTAGTGGCATTGACCGTGGAAACACTGGAACAGTGATTTTTCTTTCTTTTTTTAGAATCGACGAATTATCCTTTATTTTGTTCATATCATTTCCTCTTTAACTGAAAATAGCAATAATTTATATAAGATCTACATAAAAAAAATTTCGATCAACTATCTGAGTCAAATACCCCACTGTGTAGCGCACCTCATTCGCCTCGGTTGATTATACGAAAACGGAAAGATGAAGAAACAACATATTTTATGGGTATATGTCGGGAGGTAATGTGCACAATTTAAAATTATTTTGAAATATACAGGGTGTTTCAGAACTAATATCCATACCAAAGTTATATTTTTTCTTATGGAACACCTGGTATTTTATTTCATTTTTGGATTCTTGGGCCCAAAAATAGGCATTTATTATAACGGTTAAATATGTTTAAAATCTTTGGTTTTTGCGATATTTAAAGATATTTAAATTTGCATGCTACAATAGAATAGATTATTAACACCCTCTACATTACTTTTCAGAATTAGTTCTTGTTCTGAGTTTTAAGGTAGAGAAAGAAAATTTACAGAAAAATGTTATTCCTTCCTTAGATGTATACAGGGGTATCAAAAATTGCTGGTCTATTTTAAATATTTATTTTACATAAAAACTGCGTTATTTCAAATGCAACACCCTGTATTTTTTTAAATAAATCGAAGCAGATTCAAATGCTCTTTCAAACTATATTAGTGTTTCTTATACCTATCTGGCTCAGATTTTGAATAAAAAGCGATTTTTCAATAATATTGTAATCAAGATGGCTAGTGTTGTCATGGCAAGTTTCTAGTGACAGTTTCTAGTAGCTATTTTCAAAATCGAAATTAGATTATGGACTTATTTAAATTTAAATTTATACCAGTTTACTTTTATTTAATTTACTTACAATAGTTTAATAAATAATATTTATTAAATATGTGTATATTATTCTATCAAGAAAAACGAAGAAGTAGTTCTTTGAATTATTTTACGATGACTTGTAGATATATGGATTTTCTATAAAATAGCCAATTACGGCAAATTCATTTTATTCACTTCCAACGAAAGGTTTCTGCCTAATAGGTTCTCTATAAACCACACTACCAGCTCCGCGAAATAGGACAAGTAGTTTTTCGAAACGCTGATCAAGAAGATTCCTATTTGGATATCTTTGAGCATAAGCCCTTGAGGCCAAGAAGCAATTTTCCTCACAAAATAATATCATTAATAACATATCTATTCGTTCCGCCAGCAGATACTGCTTTATTTTTCTTGATAAAATAATGAATACATACTTATTAAACTATTGTAGGTAAATTTAGGTAAACTGTTATAAATTATAAATAATAATGTCCATAAACTAATGTCGACTTTGAAAATAGTTACTAACTGTCCCTAGAAAATTGCCATGGCGACACCAGCCATCTTGATTGCAATTTTATTTAAAAATCGCTTTTTATTCAAAATCTGAGCTAGATAGGTATAGGAAACCCTAATATAGTTTGAAATTGCACGTGAGTCTGCTTCGATTTATTTAAAAAAATACAGGGTGTTGAAATTGCATTTGAAATAACGAAGTTTTCATATAAAATATATCCTTAAAATAGATCAGCAACTTTTGATAGCCCTGTATAAATTTAAGGAACCAATACCATTGTTCAGTAAAGTTTATTTCTCTACCTTTAAACTCAGCATAAGAATTAATTCTGAGAAAAGTAATGTACAGGGTGTTATTAGTCTATTCTATTGTAGCATGGAAATTTAAATATCTTTAAATATCTCAAAAACTAAAGATTTTAAACATATTTAACCCTTATAATAAATGCCTTTTTTGAGCCCAAGAATCCAAAAATGAAATAAAATAGTGGGTGTTCCATAAGAAAAAATATAACTTTGGTGTGGATCTTCGTTCTGAAACACCCTGTATATTTCAAAATAATTTTAAATTGTGCACATTGTCTCCCCACATATACCCATAAAATGTTTTGTTTCTACATCTTTCCGTTTTCGTATAATCAACCGAGGCGAATGAGGTGCGCCACCCTGTATATAATATATAGTATAATTCCATAGATTTAGTAAGAACAGATATCACATTGTGTATTTTAACCCGATCAAACAATCGGAGGTTCACTACGTACTGTAAAAACCAACTGAGATAGAGAAGGCGACATTGCCACATCTCAAATTTGCGCCTATCTACTTAGTTTGATTTGCAGAAAAGGTGACTTTAAAACCTTCACCGGATATCAATAAATCTCAATTTCTTAATTAAATTAATAGTTTATTTTTAAAGAAGCATGCGTAATAATATGTTATTAACCAGAGGATATATGCGTTACTATTGAAGAACATGTTTACTGTTTAATGTGCTGAAACGTCTAGAACTATTGGCAACGTCGCTGCTAGTCTTCCAGAATGAAATGAGCCGTCCGTCCCACCACCCCTCGCGACGGCCCTTGGTCCGTTATAGCGTACTATGTTTAGCTTACGGTGTGTTTGAAGTCGGAATCAAGTCCGAAGTGAACTTTTCAGTGTTTTTCAGTAGTTTTTCTTTTTGTTTAACGTACTTTTGAATCTGCGAATTTTTAATATGATACGACAGTGTCAAGTGTGTGGAAAAATAAGCTCAAATTACCCGAATTTGTCTTTTCACAGGTAGGTACAAATTTCCGCTGTAATTGTACATAGGCGTCCCACAAGGAGACCTCTTACAATTAAAATAATTTCTAATTATATTTGTTGAATTTTGATCTATTAAAACAAGAACGTAGTAGCCGGTAATTGAATTATAATTCGTCTCAATTACTACCTAACTGTTGTAGATCATAACAAATTTGAATATAAACGTTGCATTTGAAACTTTATTATAAGCCAGAAAGTGACATTTTTTTCTTAAAATTGCGTCATATTTTGGTCATTATATACGATATTCTAAAGGAATTTTGCTCAACAAATAAACAAAGGTGTTTACCTGACCTTTTTACATTTCACTGCTTTATTATATCTGCCCCTTCAGCCTTGTTTAGACAATTTTTTACCACCATACAAATACCTCTTCCTAGAGTTATTTGTACGGTGTGTTTACCTTTTTAGAATGGAACGAACTGTAAATAATTTTAGGGCTACTAGTTTTATACATACCTATATACAGAGTGACCCAGGCCTCCAAAAAAGCTTTTACTTATTACGTTTTTCGTTTGTGATTTTTATTTCAATTTTTACATTTGAAATTGGCCATTGTAACGCACATTTTCAAAATATTTTTGTCAACATACAGGGTAATTCAAACCGCAGTACATATGCAGTTCATGAAGATTGAGACATTTAACTAAAATTTGATTGTCTGATGAAGCTAAAAGTAATGGGTTTGTAAATAAACGTAATATTCATTATTATGCGACAGAAATCCCATACTATAGCACACAGATTTGATACATTTAATGATAAATGCCTTCTATTGAGAGACTAGAAGGTAATTGCCTCTTATCAGAGCCATCATAATACAAGAAGAAAACCGAAAGTCAAATCTTGTCTTATATTTTCAAAAAAACACAATTTTCTCATTAAATATTGATTTTAGGTATAGGAAGTTATTAATAATACAAGAATTAACAACTATTACACAGTACTTCACAGGAAGCTATCGATTGCGAACTAACTAAATCGTTACTAATTACTAATTTTGAAAAGTTCTTTTTAAGATCAAAAAAGGTAAAACTAAAACCTAAACTATCATCTGAGATTAAACGGGAAGTTCTAAATAATGTTGGCTATTCTAAACAAGAAAAATTTATTTATAAGTTTTATAACATCTCTAATTAAATTTGGACGAAAAGAATATTTCTGTTTGCTGTAGGTAATTTTCTCAGGGAGAATACGTAAATAAAAATGACTTTTAAGTCAAAAAAG